TTGGGGTTCAATTTTGGGGATTTTGGGATTAAATTTGGGGGAATTTGGGTTAAATTTTGGAGATTTTGGGTCAGATTTTGGGGATCTGGGGGATTTTGGTTGAAGTTTTGTGGATTTGGGGGGATTTGGGGTTAAATTTTGGGTTAAAATTTGGGTGGTTTTGGGTTAAACTTTGGGAATCTGGGGTTAAATTTCGGGAATTTTGTGGATTTTGGGTGAAATTTTGTGATTTTTTGGGGATTTGGGGTTCAATTTTGGGTTAAAATTTGGGGGGATTGGGGGAATTTGGGGTTAAATTCCGGGAATTTTTGGAATTTGGGTTCAATTTTGGGTTGAATTTTGGGAATTTGGGTTACATTTTGGAGATTTTGGGGATTTTGGTTGAGGTTTTGTGGACTTGGGGTTAAATTTTGGGTTAAAATTTGGGGGTTTTGGGCTAAATTTTGGGGAATTTGGGGAATTTGGGGTTAAATTCCGGGAATTTTTGGAATCTGGGCTCCATTTTGGGTTGAATTTTGGGAATCTGGGGTTCAATTTTGGGATTTTGGGATTAAATTTGGGGGATTTTGGGTCAGATTTTGGGGATCTGGGGGATTTTGGTTGAAGTTTTGTGGATTTGGGGGGATTTGGGGTTAAATTTTGGGGATTTTGGGATTAAATTTTGGGGATTTTGGGATTAAATTTTGGGGATTTTGGGATTAAATTTTGGGGATTTTGGGATTAAATTTTGGGGATTTTGGGATTAAATTTTGGGGATTTTGGGATTAAATTTTGGGGATTTTGGGATTAAATTTTGGGGATTTTGGGATTAAATTTTGGGGATTTTGGGTCAGATTTTGTGGATTTGGGGTTAAATTTTGGGTTCAAATTTGGGGATTTTGGGCTAAATTTTGGGAATTTTTGGATTTGGGGTTCAATGTTGGGTTAAAATTTGGGGGAATTTGGGGTTAAATTCCGGGAATTTTTGGAATCTGGGCTCCATTTTGGGTTGAATTTTGGGAATTTGGGGCTCAATTTTGGGAATTTGGGGTTGAATTTTGGGAATTTGGGGTTGAATTTTGGGAATTTGGGGTTCAATTTTGGGAATTTGGGTTCAATTTTGGGGATTTGGGGTTGAATTTTGGGAATTTGGGGTTGAATTTTGGGATTTTGGGATTGAATTTTGGGAATTTGGGGTTGAGTTTTGGGAATTTGGGGTTGAGTTTTGGGAATTTGGGGTTGAATTTTGGGAATTGGGTTGAATTTTGGGTTAAAATTCGGGCGGATCTGGGGAATTTGTGGTTAAATTTTGGAAAATTTTGGAATCTGGGCTCCATTTTGGGTTGAATTTTGGGAATTTGGGGTTCAATTTTGGGAATTTGGGGTTGAATTTTGGGAATTTGGGATTCAATTTTGGGAATTTGGGATTCAATTTTGGGAATTTGGGGTTCAATTTTGGGAATTTGGGTTCAATTTTGGGAATTTGGGGTTGAATTTTGGGGATTTGGGGTTGAGTTTTGGGAATTTGGGGTTCAATTTTGGGAAGTTGGGGTTGAATTTTGGGAATTTGGGGTTGAATTTTTGGAATTTGGGGTTGAATTTTGGGAATTGGGTTGAATTTTGGGTTAAAATTCGGGCGGATCTGGGGAATTTGTGGTTAAATTTTGGAAAATTTTGGAATCTGGGCTCCATTTTGGGTTGAATTTTGGGAATTTGGGGTTGAATTTTGGGAATTTGGGTTCAATTTTGGGAATTTGGGGTTGAATTTTGGGAATTTGGGGTTCAATTTTGGGGATTTGGGGTTGAATTTTGGGAATTTGGGGTTCAATTTTGGGGATTTGGGGTTGAATTTTGGGAATTTGGGGTTCAATTTTGGGAATTTGGGGTTCAATTTTGGGATTTCGGTGCCCGCCCCTCCCCCAGGTGATCGACATCCTGCGGGGAAAAGCCTCGAGACCCCCCCAGGACCCCCCGGGACCCCCCCCACGGTGAGCCCCGAATTTTGGGGGAAAATCCCAAATTTGGGTGGAAAATTACAGATTTTGGGGGGAAAATCCCAAATTTTGGGGGAAAATTCCAGATTTTGGGTGGAAAATTAGAGATTTTGGGGGGGAAAATTCCCGAATTTTGGGGGGAAAATTCCAGATTTTGGGGGGAAAATCCCAAATTTTGGGTGGAAAATTCCAGATTTTGGGTCCAAGGGGGAATTTTGGGGAAAAATTCCCAAATTTTCGGGGGGTCTTGGGTGGGAAATCCAAAATTTTGGGTGGAAATTCCCAAATTTTGGGTGGAAATCCCCCAATTTTTGGGGAAAATTCCCCAATTTTGGGGAGTCTTTGGTGGGAATTCCTAAATTTGGGGGAAAAATTCCCAAATTTTGGGGTCCCTGAGGGGTTTTGGGGGGTCCTGGGTGGGAATTCCCAAATTTTGGGGGGTCCTGCATGAGAATTCCCAAATTTTGGGGGGTCTTGGGTGGGAAATCACAATTTTTGGGGGGAAAATTCCCAAATTTGGGGGGAAAATTCCCAAATTTTGGGGTCCCTGGGGGGTTTTTGGGGGGTCCTGGGTGGGAACTCCCAAATTTTGGGGGGTCTTGGGTGGGAAATCCCAAATTTTGGGGGGAAAATTCCCAAATTTTGGGGTCCCTGGGGGGGTTTTGGGGGGTCCTGGGTGGGAATTCCCCAATTTTGGGTGGGAATTCCCCAATTTTGGGTGGAAATTCCCCAATTTTGGGTGGAAAATTCCCCAATTTTGGGTGGAAAATTCCCCAATTTTGGGGCTCCCGGGTGGGAAAAAATCCCCAATTTTGGCTCCTCTGGCCCCGCCCCCTTTTCAGGCAGAGCATCGGAAGCCACGCCCGCTTCCGCGTCTGCAGCCAATGGGGTGGAAGGGGCGGGGCCTCTACCGTCGCTGATGGGAGCGCAGGGAAGCCCCGCCCAGCAGCGGAGCAGGGACCAATCAGAGGCGGCGGAGGGGAGGCCCCGCCCCGTGGCGCCTCAGAGGCTCCGCCCACGAGAGGGGCGGGGCCAGGGAAGCATTAATGGCGCGCCGCCAGGGGGCGCCAACGGCGGGCCGGCGTGAGGGGAAATAAAAAAAATATCGGAGAAAAATGAACTGGGATGGACTGGGAGGGACTGGGGGGGACTGGGAGGAACTGGGGGGGACTGGGGGGGACTGGGGGGGACTGGGAGGGGATTGGGGGGCACGCAGGGATCTCATCCGGGTGTCAGAAATGCTGCTGAGACACAGACTTGTGCAATACCGCAGGTGCTCTCCCGCTCCTGCTCGGCCCAGGCCAGAGCCCCGGGGCAGGAGGTGCTGCGCGGACCGGCCGCTGTCCCCCACCGCCCGGAGGTGATGCTGCACCTCCATCTCCCGGCCAAGGGCTGAGCTGCACCGCTCCCGGAGAGTCTGAAAGCAGCGCAGGGAGGGCATGCTATCCTACAGCCATCCTCTCCCAGAGTCCTTTGAGTCCCAGGGTGATCTAGAACGGCTGTGAGCAGCAGTTTGTCATAGGGAAAAAATAATGTCAGGAAAATCCTACCGCTCTTAGAAGCTCCTATGATCTTTTAGCATCCAGGGTGGCCTGCAGCAGGAGAAGCTCCAAAGCTCACATGGGTGTTGTGTTGTGCAAGGCAGTACCTCTTCCTGTCTGTATTAGATTTTTAACCTGTGAACTTCATCCAGAGCCTCATTTTTCTACCAGAAATCATTCCCTGGCTATGCCAATCAGGGAAGAAAATATCTTTATCAGTTTGTGGCGATGGGAATAGCCACGTCTGGCAAGAGCACATTGTCCCATCCTGGAATCCTGTGCTGTGGCAAGGAGAGCTGTGCCACCAGGAGATTCAGATGATTCCTTCCAGATCCTGTCATGACCTAGAGTGAGCAGGACCTCATTGGATCGGCATGGGAAACTGGGACACAGGAATGCCCAAAGTGGGGCAAGAGGCATCAGTGGAGCCAGGAAATGCCCTGGGACAGACGCCTTTGACAGTGTCGAACCATGAAATCTCCCGTCTGGATTCCTGGATTTCTTCAAAGAACTCTTGGGGCTTTTAGAGATAACATTCCTTTGCCAAAGCTGCCTTTCCTATTATCTTGTATTTCCTATATGGCCATTAATTGTATTCTTTAGAAGAGTCTCTACTAATTTGTATATCTACACAACTTATGTCTATCTAATTTGTGAGACTTAATTGTCTAGAACATTAAAAACATTATATTACATTAGCACCCTGCCACTCTCCTGATAGCCAGAGCCCTTTCAAGTGCAAGATAGCATAGCCTGAGCTATTTCATCCTGGCATTCCCTGGGCACTCTTATGTTAATGATACCCGCTCCTGCCCAGTCGCTGATATCTGCTCTGTTGATGTTTTCTAATCTCTTCTACAGAGATTTCAACAGGAGACTGATTCTCCCTTGTGTTCTGTGTAAAGGGGGCTCAGGGCAGCCCAAGCTCCTGTACAATACGGGGATGCAGAGGAATTATCTGAACACTCCTGTGTGTTCAGACACCATGTGCCTATGAACACTATCTGAACACTCCTACGTGTGAACTATGAACACACTACTATACTATAAACATTATCTGAACACTCCTGTGTGTTCAGACACCATGTGCCTATGAACACTATCTGAACACTCCTACGTGTGAACTATGAACACACTACTATACTATAAACATTATCTGAACACTCCTGTGTGTTCAGACACCATGTGCCTATGAACACTATCTGAACACTCCTACGTGTGAACTATGAACACACTACTATACTATAAACATTATCTGAACACTCCTGTGTGTTCAGACACCATGTGCCTATGAACACTATCTGAACACTCCTACGTGTGAACTATGAACACACTACTATACTATAAACATTATCTGAACACTCCTGTGTGTTCAGACACCATGTGCCTATGAACACTATCTGAACACTCCTACGTGTGAACTATGAACACACTACTATACTATAAACATTATCTGAACACGATCCCCCAAAATTTGGGAATTTCCCCCCAAAATGTGGAAATTTTCCCCCAAGATCCCCCAAAATTTGGGAATTTTGCCCCAGCATCCCCCAAAATTTGGGAATTTTGCCCCAGCATCCCCCAAAATTTGGGAATTTTCCCTCAGGGACCCCGAAATTTGGGAATTTCCCCCAAGATCCCCAAAATTTGGGAATTTCCCCCTGGAATCCCCCAAAATTTGGGAATTTTCCCCTCAGGATCCCCAAAATTTGGGAATTTCCCCCCAAAGATCCCTAAAATTTGGGAATTTTCCCTTAGAATTCCCCACAATTTTGGAATTTCACCCCAGGATCGGAATTTCTTCCCAGAATCTCCCAAAATTGGGGAATTTCCCACCAAGATCCCCCAAAATTTGGGAATTTAGCCCCAGAATCTCCCAAAATTTGGGAATTTCCCACCAAGATCCCCCAAAATTTGGGAATTTCCCCCCAAAATTTTGGCTATTTCCCCCCAAAATTTGTCTCACCCAGAATCCCCCAAAATTTGGGAATTTCCCCTCAGGATCCCCCAAAATTTGGGAATTTTCCCCCCAGAATCCCCCAAAAATTGGGAATTTAGCCCCAGAATCCCCCAAAATTTGGAAATTTTCCCCCAGAATCCCCCAAAATTTGGGAATTTCCCACCAGAATTCCCCAAAATTTGGGAATTTTGCCCCAGAATCCCCCAAAATTTTGGAATTTTCCTCCAGAATTCCCCAAAATTTGGGAATTTCCCCTCAGGATCCCCCAAAATTTGGGAATTTCCCCCCAAGATCCCCCAAAATTTGGGAATTTTCCCCCAGAATCCCCCAAAAATTGGGAATTTAGCCCCAGAATCCCCCATAATTTGGGAATTTCCCCCAAAATTCAGGAATTTCCCCCCAAGATCCCCAAAATTTGGGAATTTTCCCCCAGAATCCCCCAAAAATTGGGAATTTAGCCCCAGAATCCCCCATAATTTGGGAATTTCCCCCCAGGTCCATCCAGCTGCCCCTCCCCCCCCACCCCAGGTGTCCCCAGAGGCTCCTCCCACATTTTTGGAAAAGCCGCCCCCCCCACCTGTGGGTGCCCCTCCCCCATTTTTGGGTGCCTGTCACTCACCTGTCACTGACATGTCACTCACCTGTCACTCACCTGTCACTGACATGTGACTCACCTGTCACTCACCTGTCACTCGTCACTTACCTGTCACTGACATGTCACTCAGCTGTCACTCAGCTGTCACTCACCTGTCTCACCTCTCCTGTTTCACCTGTCTCACCTGTTTAATCTCACCTGTCCTTTCTCACCTGTCCTGTTTCTCACCTGTGTCTCACCTGTCCCCATCTCTCACCTGTCCTGTCTCACCTGTGTCTCACATGTCCTGTCTCACCTGTCTGTGTCTCACCTGTCTCACCTGTCTCTCACCTGTGTGTCACCTGTCTCACCTGTCTCACCTGTCTCTCACCTGTCTCTCACCTGTGTCTCACCTGTCTCACCTGTGTGTATCTCAGGTATCAGCTGCTGTTCTCTCTCACCTGTGCCTCACCTGTGTCTCACCTGTCTCATCTGTCTCACCTGCCCTGTCTCACTTGTCCTTTCTCACCTGTGTCTCACCTGTCTTGCCTGTATGTCACCTGTCCGGTCTCGCTTATGCTATCTCATCTGTGTCTCACCTCTCTCACCTTTATCACACCTGTATCTCACCTGTATCTCACCTGTCTCACCTGTGTCTCACCTGTCTGTCTCACCTGTGTCTCTCCTGTCGCACCTGTCCTGTCTCACCTGTCCCACCTGTCCCACTTGTCTCACTTGTCTTACCTGTCCTTTCTCACCTGTCCTTTCTCACCTGTATCTCACCTGTATCACCTGTGTCTCACCTGTGCCTCACCTGTCTGTCTCACCTGTGTCTCACCTGTCCTGTCTCACCTGTGTGTATCTCACCTGTCTGTGTCTCACCTGTCTCTCCCCTGTCTCACCTGTATCTCACCTGTCTCTCGCCTGTCTCTCACCTGTCTCACCTGTGTCTCACCTGTCTCTCTCCTGTATCTCCCCTGTCTCCCCCGTCCTGTCTCTCCTGTATCTCACCTGTCTCTCGCCTGTCTCTCACCTGTCTCACCTGTGTCTCACCTGTCTCTCTCCTGTATCTCCCCTGTCTCCCCCGTCCTGTCTCTCCTGTATCTCACCTGTCTCTCGCCTGTCTCTCACCTGTCCAGGACGATGTCCCGGCCTCGGCCGCCCCCCGGCCCCTCCCCGGCCTCTCCTTCCTGGTGCCGGAGCCTGAGGACCTGGAGGACCTGTACAGCAGGTACAAGGTGAGTGACACACCTGGGACAGGTGTGACACCCCTGGGGACCCCCCTGGGACACACTTGGGACAGGTGTGAGGGGTTACAGGGATCTGTACAGCAGGTACAGGGTGAGTGACACACCTGGGACAGGTGGGACAAACCTGGGAGAGGTGTGAGGGGTTGCAGGACCTGTACAGCAGGTACAAGGTGAGTGACAGGTGTGACACACCTGGGCACAGGTGAGGTTACCTGTACAGCAGGTACAAGGTGAGTGACACACCTGGGACAGGTGTGACACACCTGGGGACACACCTGGGACAGGTGGGACAAACCTGGGAGAGGTGTGAGGGGTTGCAGGACCTGTACAGCAGGTAAAAGGTGAGTGACACACCTGGGACAGGTGTGACACACCTGGGAACACACCTGGGACACACCTAGGACAGGTGTGAGGGGTTACAGGACCTGTAGAGCAGGTACAAGGTGAGTGACAGGTGTGACACGCCTGGGGACACACCTGGGACAGGTGTGAGGGGTTACAGGGACCTGTACAGCAGGTACAGGGTGAGTGACACACCTGGGACAGGTGTGACACACCTGGGACACACCTGGGACAGGTGTGAGGGGTTACAGGGACCTGTACAGCAGGTACAGGGTGAGTGACACACCTGGGACAGGTGTGACACACCTGGGGACACACCTGGGAGAGGTGGGACAAACCTGGGACAGGTGTGAGGGGTTACAGGACCTGTACAGCAGGTACAAGGTGAGTGACAGGTGTGACACACCTGGGCACAGGTGAGGTTACCTGTACAGCAGGTACAAGGTGAG